GGCATGAAGGATGGATGGATGATTGCTCTGAATGTGAAATAATTAGTTATTGCTTGAGCATTTTTTATTTTTTAAAATATATTTTTATTTAATTTTCTAGTAGGGGAAGTTAGATTTGAGTGGAGTTTCCTCTAATTATGATTTTACTTTAATTATGCCTATCATAGGGAAAAAAACTTGTGGATATTTTTCTTAAAATTTAATGGCATTTTTATTAAGAAATTCCCTTCGATTATGATATTTTGATTATCACATATATTTTTAGGGATATTTTGAGGTATTTTGCTTAATTCCTTGTGGGGAGCATAGACTTGTTGAAAAACCCATCGACTATGATTTGCCATAATTATTGCTCATTTAAAGAGTAGGCACTATTATTTTAAATTTTATGTTCAGATTTTGGGTTTTTGAACTTGTTGAAATTGCCTGCTCACTTTTGGAGAATTAGGCTCACAAAAATTTATAATTATAGCATTTGAATTCAATTAGGGGCGGTTTGTTTTCATGTATTAGGAGTTGTGTAAAAAAATATAGGTGTTTTATGTTTATTGATGTTTGATTTGAACTAAAAAAAATATAAAGTAATTTTTGAGGAATTCCAACCCATTTTAGTTGTATTTTGAATTTGCCTAAATTTAATGAATTTAGAATATGTGATTATCGTCCTCGACTCATTGCTTGTCATGCTACCTTGATTGATCTCACTTGTTGATGTAACCATGCCTGTCTTGCTGGGCGAATTATTGCATCCGGTCACCTGACATCCGAACAACCAATCCGGATGCGCCACATCACCCAAATACATTGGGGCCCAATGTATTTTGTTGATGTGTCGCGTCTGGATTGGTGTCCGGACGAATCCGGACACTGGACGCAATAAATTGCCGTCTTGCTGACCCCACATAGATGGGTGGGTCATATGATTGAAAAAATCTGGTGAATTTGACATTTCAAAATAGAAGCTTTCATTTTGAAGTCTTGAGATTTAAGTTCTATTGAGGTCTATTCTTTTGTAAGTTGAGAAATGTCAAATTTTCAAAGAATTGAATGGTACACAAAACTCAAAAGTGAAATCTTATGCAAACTAATATTTAGGGGCCATCTTTAGCAACATATATTTGTGACATTTTACAACAAGTATATTATCTTCATTGATTGATGGCTTCACAAAGAGAGTATGGTTTTTCTTTTTTTTTTTGGAAAATAGATTTAATATTTTTGTGTAGTTTTAGAAGGTGGAATGTAGATAATGAGCAAAAAATGCAGTATCTATGAACAAGTAATGAAGTAGAGTATGACATATGGCAATAAACAGAATTTTGTGGAGTGGGATCCATATGGAGAGGTTTCTTTGTTATTATATCAATATTATATCATTTAGACAATACTTAAATTAATAGAATATTTATTTCGTCATACTGTTCAATCTTTGTTCAAGCCTAATCAAATCATTGAATCATAAACCTCTCATTCTTTCAGTTTTATATCATTGATAATTACCCTCACTCAACTTGTTAAATAAAAGATTTATACAATTGATTTAAACTCGTTTGCTTAAAATAGTAAAACCCTAGCAATTTAAAAATGAGAGCCGCTTGAGAATTTAAGATGACACCCATAAAGATAAATTGTGTTATTTGATCCTATCAAGAATTATATTTTATAGAGATGACAAGGTTGAGAGTTATAATCTTTTCTTGCTTCGTCGTTGAAAATTAAAGAAACAAAAAATGCTATGCTACTATTATGCGGTAAAAAAATGATAAGAAAGTTATTTTAAAAAGTAGTAAGAAAGATGTTCCAAACAAAAGCTTCATTTAGGACGGCTTTTTATTGCTTCTTAAAACAGAGTTTAGTTAAAAAAATGTAATTTTGTACTAAAATTTTATTTTAAGAAGCAATAAAAAAGCTGTCCTAAACGAAGCCGAAGTCTTAGGCTTCGTTCGGGATAGCTCTTTTATTATTTTCTAAAGCTATTTTTTAGTACAAAAATTTCTCATTTAAAAAACTTTTTACTAAAAAACTGCTTTAAAAAATAATAAATAAAGCTATCCTAAATAAAATCTTAGTCGAAAAGGCGCACCAAAAGGTTGAAAGATCATGACCTTTGTGGTGAGCTCCCATTACGACTTCCAATCTGATTGGAATGATGGTCAAACTGGGCGAAGCAGGTCCCTTTAGCGACCCTTTCAAAACTCTACCAAGCAGCAAAGAAGACATTGAGACAAGAATAAGCAAACCTTGTACAAGCCAATGATATGAGGAAGAAGAAAGACAATTATAAAAGAGAAGATAAATTATAGAAATTGACATGCAATGGCAGAGAAGAATACATTTACTCCTTTCCTAACTCCATTTTGGCTCCTATCAACTTTTTCTTAAATTTGCTTATCTTTAGTATTTAATTAGTTAATAATTAATTATTATATTAATATATAATTACTATAATTAAATTAGTTCAATTAAATTCAATTAAAATTTAATTAGAAATAGTATTGTTGCATCCTGGAGTATTCGCGGTAGTAGAGAAATATGAAATTTAACGTCGTAGCATTGTATTAAGACCCAACACATGCACATATAAAAAAGAGGGTGCATCATTCATAAGAAACACTAGAGTTTTTACGTGGAAACTCTTGAAAAGGGGAAAAACCACGGTGCCTGACCCAATTTGAATGAATCCTCTTGTATTTACAATCAATTACAAATGAGGCACTTCTTAAGGAGAAGGTATTGGCTTGATGCACAAATGCACGTCATACAGAGTGCATTACATGGTGAGAGTTACAATAATCAACATTAGCATGTTTGTTTAGTTGGAAGGGCCATAGTCGGCACGAGACATGGGTCCGAAAGACCGTAGTTGGCAGAAGTCCGGGATCAGAAAGACCGTTGTCTGGTGATGGAGGTTAGAAGGACCATAGTCGGCAGGAGATAGGGGTTTGATAGACCGTAGTAGAAGGGCGGTACTCTGGGAGAACTCTCAACATCAAGTGGTGGCCCGACAGAAGTTCGAGTCTCATATTGTGGTTCGGTAGAATTTCGGGCCTTAGCTGGAGGTCCGGTAGAAGTCCGGGACTTAGGTGATAATTCGGCAGAACTCCGTGTGTCAGGTGGTGTCCTGGTAGAGCTCGGGGCCTCAAGTAGTGGTTCAGCGGAAGTTTGGGCCTTAGGTGGAAGCCTGGTGGAGCACAAAGCCTCAAGTGGTGGTCTGTTAGAAGTCCAGACGTCAGGTGGTGGTCAAGAAGAAGTTTGAGCCTCAAGTGGTGGTCCGGCGAAGCAACGACGTCAGGCGGTGGTCCGGCGGAAGTCTAGGCCTCAGGTGGTGGTCCGAAGAAGGTGAGGGTCTCAAGCGGTAGTCCGGCGAGGGTGAGGGCCTCAAGTGGTTGTCCGGCAATGGTGAGGGCCTCAGGTGATGGTCCGACGGAGGTGAGAGCCTCAAGTGGTGGTTCAGCGGAGCAACGATGTCAGGCGGCGGTCCGGTAGAAGTCCGGGTCTTAGGTGATGGTCCGGCGAAGGTGAGGGCCTCAGGCGGTGGTCCGGTGAGGGTGAGGGCCTCAAGTGGTGGTCCGGCAAAGCAACGACGTCAGGCGGTGGTCCGGCGGAAGCCCGGGCTTCTGGTGGTGGTCCGACGAAGGTGAGGGCCTCAGGCGGTGGTCCGGCGAGGGTGAGGGCCTCAGGTGGTGGTCTGACGGAGCAACGACATCAGGCGGTGGTCCGGCAGAAGCCCGGGCTTCAGGTGGTGGTCCGGCGAAGGTGAGGGCCTCAGGCGGTGGTCCGGCGAGGGTGAGGGCCTCAAGTGGTGGTCTGACGGAGCAACGACGTCAGGCGGTGATCCGGCGGAAGTCCGGGCCTCATGTGGTGGTCCGGCGAAGGTGGGGGCCTCAGGCGGTGGTCCGGCGAGGGTGAAGGCCTCAGGTGGTGGTCCGGTGGAGCGACGACGTCAGGCGGTGGTCCGACGGTACTCAGACGGTGGTTGAGGAGGAGCTTCTTCCTTCTCTTCCTTCTCTTCTTGCTTGGGGTCCCCCCTTTCAAGAAAAATGAGGGATCTATTTATATATTTTTGGAGTGGCATTGCCTGTAAATGGGGAGTGGTTGGATGGACAGACGATATTGAATCCCTTGATCGTAGACTGTTCGTCAGACATTTGAAGGTCTTAATGATGTCGTAATTCTGCGATCTTGGGCTCGTTGGATTCGTCTCGTCGAGCCGCTCGATTCAAATTTAAGCACATACTGTTTGGAAACCCTTTGGTAATCCAAATTGTTGTTCGAACCTTCAAATTGCACTTCGGGTATTTGATTTGGACTTATTTGGGCTCGGTTAGTTCGACTGTAAGTTTGCTAAAATCGGAGTTCAGATGTTCCCAATTTTAATTTCGAAAGTTTTCAACTTGATTTTGCATCAATATTCGTGCCTGATCAAGATAATTTTTAACGACGTATCAAGTATAAAGAAAGACAGAGAAGATAAATTATATAAATAGATATGTAATGGCAGGGAAGAATATAAAGGGTTAATAAACAAAGTTCATAAATAAATTAAAGTTAATAAATATAATTCAATACGAGTTAATTAATTTTTAATAATTATGCGATTTGTATTAATTTTATATTAATTATATTATAAAAAATTATCATTAAAATCTTAGTTTAACTAATGGACATTAATTCATTAAATAAATATCTAATTAATTCATTAATATTTAATTAGATTTAGATTTTATTTGAGACAACTTTCTTACTGTTTTGTTTTTTAAAGTATAGTTTTAATTTTGTTTGATAATTATTTTTAATTACTCTAAAAAAATTTTATGCAGAAAAATTATTTGCTACAGTAACTTTAAAAAGTTATTTTTTATATAAAAAATTATAAAACGATAAGAAAATTATTCCAAACGAAACTTATTAAATTCTATTTGAACTAAATCCTATCTGCATCCAAACAATTCATTGTAAGTAGTTATAAAAATTTTATGATATATATGTAATGACCCATAAATAACTGAGAGAGAAGAGAAAGAAGAGAAAGAGAGATTGAGAGAGAATAGCAGCCTCCCCTCAACCTCTGAGTCTTCAAATGGATTGGTCTTCAAGATGCCATACCATGAAGCAGTTTTCCGTCCCGTCGGGATTTGCATACCCTGCCCTTTACTTGCCCTCAAATCTGTTAGCGCCGGAGCCTCCCGTCGTATCGCATCACACCCGCCGGCGACGGTGGTGGTTTTCAGCTTAGAGTCGCGCCTCCCTCTCTCCCTCTCTCTCTATCTCTCGATTCGTGGAATGACCGCTGATTATATTAAATCCCTTCTCAGATGCCAACTATTAACGATATAATCCTCCTCTTCATCCTCCTGTTGTCAAACTTCTCTTATTCTTTCGTTGTGTGTTAAGTGCGCTTCGGTGAATCGAGGATGGCGGAGCCGAGGCCGGATATCCACGAGCTCTTCTGCTATTACAACTCCCTTTACTTCAGTGAAGCTCTCGGCACTTGCATACTCTCGTGGGCTCCGTGCTTGACTAGGTTAGCACTTGCAAGACTTTTATTCTCTCTCTCTCTCTCTCTCTCTCTCTCTCTCTCTCTCTCTCTCTCTCTCTCTTATCGGTTTCTTGGGTGTTGATTGGGCAAAAATCAGGGTTTTTTTAGGAGCCTTTGTTTAAAAGAAGTGTGAAATTTGACCAAACATGAGATTTTTTGCTTATCGTTTTTTATATGCTCCTGCTCTAACATAGATATAATGTAATTGGCGGTGAAATTTATGTTTATTGAACAATTGCACTTCTGGAAGTTATTAGGTGCTGAAGGTTCATGTAATTGTTATTTTGCTTGGTTGGGGTTCCATGGTTTTATGAAAGCCTCTAATTTTTTTTGCTCTCGAGTTTTTGCTTTTAGTTTTTGGTGTTGCAGCGCTTCGGTTGGATGCGTATACCATTTAAACAACAGAATATAAGATGTTGTAAGCCAAGTAGTCGAGTTTTTGAGAATTTTGTAAGGGATTTTTTGTTGATGAGTAAAATTTGAGTAGGAAGGTTCCTCTTTTATGAAAGAATAAGATTAATCATGACCCGAACACTACTAAGAACAGAACTTATCCCTTATAGCATCTACAACCTTGTAAGCACCCTCACTAGGGTATGTTTTCTTGAGTTATGGCATGTATTTTTTGAAGTTTGGATATCGCATTTGTATAAATGTGCAGCCTTTAGGCAAATGCTATGTGCCATGTAATAAACACTTGAGGGAAGCTAGGCAATGCTTAATGCTTCCAGAGTGGAGGCATAGAAGCTTATACATGTTGTATTTTAATGTTCTTGATACCACAAACAAGATTTACGAATTTAATTTGGATTAAGAGAAATTTAGCTTATTATTTCCTTTTAAAGAATTTCACTAAAACTTATGTTTGTAAGTGTGGAGCTGCAATTATACATGGCACTATAATAAGGATATTCCTACATAGCTAGTTAAAGATTGAAAGAAAATTTTCCCAATGGAGTCACTAGAATTTTGTAGGCTTCAAAAACTTACAGTTGAATTTGTTATATGTAAGCTGGTGTTCAGGTTAATGTTTTAATTGACATATTTGATATATGATGAGACCACCCAAAAGTTTCACCATCTAATGAGGATTTTATGATATGATATAAATGTTTTTCATTAGTGCATTCCCTAAAGAGTTTTATTACTTTCAATCATGAGAGAGAACTTTCAGTTAAAGCTAGTTGATATTCTCTATAAATTTTTATTTTTAGTAGGAATAGTTTGATTTGGAAGACGATATACTACTATTTACTCAGATTAAATTGTAAGGGAATTAACAGTGAGCCAATTCAAATTCCATAATTTCGTTATTCTAGGTTGTTATGGATCTTGGTGTTCTACGTCGGTATAGACATTTGGCCTAACTTGACCAAATGATCTTTATCAACGATCATGGGTTACAACTTTCGAGGAGATCTCACCAACATAGGCAAAAACTTGCTAGAGGGGTCAATTTTCAGGCAATCTTAGCTAAAAATGAGCTTTGTGTCATATCAAATGCGCTTTATGGCTCATGAGTTATATATTTATCCTTTGAGAAACATCCGAGCTTTGACCATAATTATAATATAATGATGTTGTCACATTCAGCATTATCACCTGTCAGAGTATATTTGCTACATCTTTATTGGCGTGGGGGTTTTAAGCATGATCACATGGATACATTTGATGTAACATGTGCTCTTTATCAGCTTTGGTCAAACTAGAAATTTTAACCCTTGGTAAATTGGCATGAAGGATGGATGGTTGATTGCTCTGAATGTGAAACAATTAGTTATTGCTTGAGAATTTTTTTTGTAAATATATTTTTATTTAATTTTCTAGTATGGGAAGTTAGATTTGAGTGGAGTTCCCTCCAATTATGATTTTACTTTAATTATACCTATCATAGGGAAAAAAAAACTTGTGGATATTTTTCTTAAAATTTAATGGCATTTTTATTATGAAATTCCCTTCGATTATGATATTTTGATTATCACATATATTTTTTGGGATATGTTGAGGTATTTTGCTTAATTCCTTATGGGGAGCATAGACTTGTTGAAAAACCTATTGACTATGATTTGCCATAATTATTGTTCATTTAGAGAGGAGTAGGCACTTTTATTTTAAATTTTATGTTCATATTTTGGCCTTTTGAACTTGTTGAAATTGCCCGCTCACTTTTGAAGAATTAGGCTCACAAAAATTTATAATTATAGCATTTGAATTCAATTAGGGACTGTTTGTTTTCATGTATTAGGAGTGGTGTAAAAAAATATAGGTGTTTTATGTTTATTGATGTTTGATTTGAACTTAAAAAAAAGGTAAAGTAATTTTTGAGGAATTCACAACACCTTTAACAACCCGTTTTAGTTGTATTTTGAATTTGCCTAAATTTATTTAATTTAGAATATGTGATTCTCGTCCTCGGCTCATTGCTTGTCATGCTACCTTGATTGATAATGTGATTTTACTTGCCATTTAGATCTCACTTGTCGATATAACCATGCCTGTCATGCTGATCCCACATAGATGGGTGGGTCATATGATTGAAAAAATATGGTGAATTTGACATTTCAAAATATAAGCTTTCATTTTAAAGTCTTGAATGCTTTACTTGTCATTTAGATCTTACTAGGGTATGTTCTAGTGAGGTCTATTTTTTTGTAAGTCGAGAAATGTCAAATTTTCAAAGAATTGAATGGTACACAAAACTCAAAAGTGAAATCTTATGCAAACTAATATTTAGGGGCCATCTTTAGCAACATATATTTTTGACATTTTACAACAAGTATATAATCTTCATTGATGGCTTCACAAAGAGAGTATGGTTTTTCTTTTTTGGAAAATAGATTTAATATTTTTGTGTAGTTTTACAAGGTGGAATGTAGATAATGAGCAAAAAATGTAGTATCTATGAACAAGTAATGAAGTAGAGTATGAAAACTGGCAATAAATAGAATTTTGTGCAGTGGATCCATATGGAGAGGTTTTTTGAAGGAACACCATAGTAAAATGGGATTATTGAGTGCAAAAATTGAACTATGAATGAGAGAGATAGAAGCATGAAAGTAGATATTGGATTGCTTAAAGACTTTTTGGGTTGATGCTATGAGCATTACAATTTTTTTATCAATTGAGGACCCTTAGTTCCTTTATGTTATAAATCACCTGAAAAGATTTGGATTGGTAAAGACATTAACTTTTTATCACTCAAAAGTTTTTGTTACTATTTTTTGTAAATGATGAATTTATTGGTAGAGATATGACCTATGTAGCACGGATACTCCTATTTATGAGGCATGCTGTATCAGACACTTGTCAAATGCGGATACGCCTCCGATATGTCACGGATATGTGTCGGATACGGTTTTTCCGTGTCCAATTAAAATATTATTTTAATTTGATCCGACACATGTATCGGATACGCATGTCCTTCTCTTCTTTTTCTTCATCGTAGGCTCGGTACCGCTTGGTACTCAGTACTGCTCGGTACCTCTCCGCAGCACTCGGCACCAAGAAGCTAGAGAAATCTTTAAAACAACTCTTACAATAAAAATTTGTTTCGCCCCCTGTTAGGCGCTGTAGGGGGCAGCGCCCCCTTGGACCCCCGGCATATCTGCGACATATCTACACTTTTGCTTAAAATTTTCATGTTTCAAATTCATGTGGTTTATTTGTGTTGATCCTTTGTAGGATAATGCAACTTCATGTGCTGAACAAACACTGAAGAAGCTAATCCTATCATTCCTTATATTGAATAGTTGAAACCTCATGTGCTAAATAATTTCTGTTTATGTTTTTGTTGTTGTACTAGACATTTAAACATTTAATGCTTACTTTTCTTTTGATATTATAAGATGCAATGCTATAAATGATGTTTCTTTCAATTTTTTTGTCATTTCAAATATTATGCTTTGATTATTTTCTTAATATTTATATATAATTTATATATTATAATATCGTATCCGCGCCATATCCGTATCCTATATTTTTAGGAATTGACGTGTCCCGTATCTATTTCGTGTCATATCCGTGTCGCCGTATCCGTATCGGTGCAACATATGATATGATAGTCTCAAATGTATAAAAAGTAGTGGTAAATATACTTATTTATTATAATTAGCACACAATCCCTATGCGACTTTAAAAAATATATTGTTAATCCTCATGCACATCTGATCAAATTGTCACAATTATCTTTTATTTTCAAAATGATTGAGGAAGATCTAAAGACATTCTTTCCCATGTCTAAATGTATCTCCATACTTTGAGTGCGGTCCATTTCTCTACCCCCTTCTCCTATCAAGTTTGTTATGCTGATTCCTTTTCCCATTGGGTTCCTAGTGATTATTTTTTGCCACCATCATTTACGACCAACATATCCTCCTTTTCTCATCCCCTAGGTTTCAAGCAACTGTGTTTCTCTCTAGTTCTCCGTGACCAAAGTTTCTTTTTCACGCTGTCTAGGTTTTCACAGAACTTGAGTAGGAATTGATAAAAATCAGCATGTATGCAGGAGTTTCATATGGGTTTTGAATAACAATGTTATGAGGAATACTATTAAGTTGGAAAACATTTTTTGTTATGCTTTAGTGTTAATGTTCCTTTCTAGATGCTAGATCTTCATTATTGTCTTTATTTTTGTAATTGTTTTAGGCTTCTTGCGTATTTGATGTAGGCAAGGGGGGAGGGGGGTTCAAAACAAGTTGAGTTGATATTTTTGAGCTTCTACTTAAGTTCAGCTCATTAATGAGCTTTTACTAATGTTTCAGCTCATAACGTGGCTTTAATTAGGTTCATTCCCCCTAGGTGGCCCATTCTTTCTTCTCCTTCTTATGTATCTTTCCCTTCCCCACATGGTTTAAAATTGCGCAATATGAGGCTCGCCTTGAGGCCCGCCTTTGCGCAATTCCAGTAAAAACGCCTCGATGCTTACGCCTCAAGTCTTTTTTATGAGGCTTGCGCCTCAACTTGGTTGAGGCCCGCCTCGCCTCACT